AGCACCTTTTGGTCTGAAATTTCAGTCTAAGGAATCTTTTTGGAAATTATTTAAGTAAATGAAAACAATGAGATTACTTATTATGAGGATGAAGATCATTGCTAGCTCATGCTGAGCTTATTGTGGTCATTCAGGCAGGTGTTCACATTAACATCTGAGCAGAGACTTTCCTGCAAATGAAACCGAAGAGCAGTCTGGTGTCAGTGGGAGATGCGTCTGGCTTTTCTTAGAATATTTTTCAGAGGAGTGATATCAGGGTTGCACAAGAGGAAAACTGCTAACTAGCTAGCAGTCATAACTAAACTAGCTCTCCCTTCTCTGACACATACAGGTGGCCTTTGCAAGAAGAAACTTCACAGTAAGTGGTCATAGGTATAATGTGAACTAAATTTCCACCTTTTTGGTCTGTGCCAAAATGTCAATGCTTGCCTTCAGGCTGGCTTAATATTCAGCTGGGTCATTAAGGCAACTGGGGTATGTCAGAAAAGAAGAGGTAGACAAGACCATGCCAGATTTAATCAGTTTAAATAGCACCTGGGGCTACAACAAGTTCTTTATAAAGCAACAGGTCATGCTGTGTCAGTAAAAACATGTCAGCTGTCTAAGACAAATGAGTGGATATTTTCTTGGTCATGGGGAGGCAGGAGGAAGAAAGGAAAGGATGACAAAGGAGAGAAGGTGCAAGAAATAAAATTTTACTAACCTTGGCTTAGTCTGTGAACCACATACAAAGCCTAGCTATTGTAAAGTGCAGTAAATCCTATTTTAATAGCAGTAGGTAATAACTTGCCCTTACTAACTGAAGAATATTTTTATGCCTCTGCTTCTGAGCTATGATCACTCTTCTGCATTCAGCTCTTTCACAGGGATTAAAAACAGTTGTCTGTGAAATCTAGTGCCTCCACTATTGAGAGAGAACAGCATATGAGCTGCTAGCTTGATGCTTATGTTGGGTGACAGAATTAGTACATTAAAACTAAAAACTATTACTTTCGTAGATTGAACAGCTTTGTGCATGAATGCATTTCTTTCACTTCATTCACTCATCAACAGTTTTTAACTGCAAGCGAGAGTTTGTTTCACTAGAAGAATATGCTGGCACAACTCAGATAAGTGACTGAGGGAGGTAAATGGCAGTAAGAATGATAATATCTAAGAACCTTCTGAATCATATGTTAACTGTAAACACTATCTCTGAATAGAAATGAAGGTGACTTTCCGGGGAAGAACAGTCTTATTGGGAATCAGGGCAACTAGTTCAATACAGACTTCAATGGGAAGATGATTTGTAGGCTGCTATGACATTGAAACCTGGTAATAATGAGAAGAGCCAGAAAGTATGACATGAGAATTAACAGGAGATGAGGAAGAAAAACAAGAGCTCAAGAAATTTGATTAATCTAGCAGCATGCGATTTCAGATATAACTGATGGTTTGGACTGTTGCAGTGAGATAACTTGTATACAACCTAAGACGCAGAATCCTATTGCTTTACTTGAAGAAAATGAGATATACTTCTGGGGTCCTTATAATTTTACTAATCCCGTCTATGACAAGTTAAAGAACTGATAGCATTCTCCGTAAAAGAAAGGAAAAATCAATTTCACTGTTTCTTTAGCAAGATATACCTAATTCAGTATAAATTATGACTTTTTTTCTGCTTGATTTCGTGACTTAACAGTACTTTGTAATTTCTGCTCTTTCAGTGAGTAATTTCTTCTTTTCCAGTGAATAAGCTTGAGGCTATGAATTGCCCTACCTTCCTCTATGATAGGGGAAATTTTGAACTCTGTCAGCGCTAGAGCATAAAAGTATTCCTCTAGGTTGGGGGCTTAGGGGAAAAGGGAAATGTTTGAAATATTGACTTCAGATATTTAAAAACACCTCATCTATTAAATGCTGAATTAAGGACGTGGAGAACACCCATGGGCCAGACACTCTCTCATAACTTTATAATCAGATGTTTAGCAGGCTATATATAATCAAATATTCAAATACTTCTGTATTCAATATTCAGTTTAATCCTTTTGTTTCACTTTGAGAGTAGTAGTAGTCAACTTGGCACTTCTAGCAGAGGATTAGGTTTTTTTCCGTGATGAAATTACACAACGCAGTGTGTAAATTACACAACAACTTCACAAGACTGAAGCTGTTGTAGGCGAAGGACTGAGCTCAGGCAGACTCAGTGTCCTGCTATGTTGCCAAAGTCAGTGTTGTGGTAGAAAGCACAACTTCAGTTTGTTGGGTTTTTCCCTGTTAAGGTTATCCAAGTGCATTCATGTGGGTTCAGAGCAGTGAACATGGCTGTTTGCCATCATTGTGGTCATTTACATGGTGGGAAGGAAAAAATGTTTTTTCTTCTTTCTTATGAAACTTGTGTATCAAGTGTCTTGCTTTTTATTTATGTTACTTTAGGGAGGAGAATAATATTGAAGACTAAATAAGGCCAGGGAAGTTATTTAATAAGCAGGGCACATCTTCTGAGACCTGACTTAAGTTCTGAGGCATATTTTTTTCAGGGTACTGTAGAACATCCCTGCGCTATGGTTGGCACACAGTGATTCCAACCTAGTGCCAGAGATCAACTGAATACTCCGAAAGCCTGACGTATTTGGGATAAAGCAAATTACTGCACCCTTTTTGTGGCATAAATTAGTATGAAATACTAAAATAGTATTTTTTTCTGGTATCTAGGGTGTTGGGTGTTCCATACCATGCTGTGAAAGAAGATAAATTTTAACCCAGTAGTGTTTTACGATTAAGTAGAATATTGTCTCAAGCAAAGGGGACTAATGTAGGAATTACTATAATTCTTTAAAGACAAGCTACTGTTATTTGTACTGCATGGGAGGATCTTGAGATTGGCCCTGGAGAAATCACGGAAAAGAGGAACAGGTGAATCTATATTTCGGCTAATCTACTTGCTGTGAAACTACCAGGTATAAATGTGCTATTAGCAGTCATCAGCTGTGTTAACAGCTGCAAAATACTGGCAAAAGTATCAATGTTTCCATCCCACTGCAGTCTCCTTCACAAGGCAGTTTTCTTTGGCTTTGTGCAGGGTTTCAGTTTGCGCTATTCATAAATCAGATGAAAATCACTGTATGAAATCTGGCTTGTCATGGCGTTGTGTGTACAAGGCTATGCTGTTTTCCCTTAAAACAGTGTGTAAGCCTGTCACGAGCACTTGGAATTTTAGAAAAGATTTTGCAGGTGCAAAATGAAGTGCTTACCATAAAACCAGGAGACTCCAATTGCCTCCATTAGAACAGCAAACAATATCGAAGTTCCAGCTGCAAATGTGTCCAGAAGCGTGAGCACATAAATTCCACCCTAGCATTGGGGAGTTAAAAGATGCAACAAAATGAAGTTACAAATACAATTGTCTCAGTAGCTTAGTATCTAGTTAACAGAAATCTGCTTTACTTTAAACAGTATCTTAACACGAGTATCTTAATGTAGAGCTGATACTGCAGACGCGGGTTCATATTTGCATATAAAATAGTGGAATCAGACTTGCAGCTCTTTTAAAGAGGCTTCCTTTCACCTGTGTCCTCACTGAACTGGGAAACAGAAGCCCCAGCTTAGCATGAATACTGAGGGCGTCTTGGCACTTGGCGTGTTCAGTGGAAGGTGAAGGCACTGGCTGTTCAGGGGAATGCTCAGCAGCTTGCAGGACAGGGCCTGTCTACAGCAGCTAATGAGGATCTTTCTAAATTACTGCCAGGAGTGGAGCACTACAAGAGTTTCCACAAGCCGTTATCACTCCGTTTGTTCCTAAGGCAAGCTGTTCTGTAGTCCAGTGAATCTGCAGTCTGAGACTGATGTCTCCTTTTCCCAGAGTGCCTGCATCTCTCTTTTCCAATGCTCCTGCAAAGGGCGCAGTTGCATGTTAAGTCTGTGTTACCAGCCCAGCATGGAAGCAGCTTTTCCCTGTTCAGTTTCTTTGCTGTGGCATTAGCAAGCCTTTGCCCAGTGGAGAGAGCGAACCAGCTCATCTTCCTTCACAACACATTCCTGTTCTTCAGTGGTTCATGACTGAGAACAGTAAACACATTTACTAAAGTCTTGTTTCACTATTTTTTGTTGGTTTTTTGAGCTGCAATTTGACTACTGTTTGCCTTATCCAATATGGTATAAATTTGTGTAAATTACATCTCATTTTATCAAGTTTGGGCTAATGAGGAATGGCAGACCATGGTATGTTTACTTGTTTCAAAATGACCCTGAATAAAGTGTTTCAGGACATTCTTCATCATATGTAAACAACGAATAATTTTGCAGTTGCAGTAGGTATTTGTTAAAATCTTTTTTTTTATAACCAAACCTAATCTGCCTGTTCAGAAGAGGAGGAGCAAAGAAATTATTTTCCATGTTTTTACCAATGATTTAAATAGCACTTGTACCATTTAGAACTCTAGGTGATTTTAATCTCTGCAATCAGTTTTCTTTTTTCTTATGAAAAGATGGTTTTCTGAAACAGCTGTGCATATTTACAAAAAAAGAGAGAACAGTACTTAGGCCTTGTCTAGGTTTTTAATTCTGTGGGGACTTGTCCGGAAACTGAATGAACTTTGGTGGTTGTGTTAGAAAGAAAATGTTACTTATTGAATGACATTTGAGTTTGACCTCTTGTTTTTGCTCTACACCTGCTCTAAATGAATGCCTTTGCTATCAAACTTAGTAAAGCAAATGACAAATATGGTTTTGTAAGAAACATGTTTTGAAAACACAGCCTTAAAATTTCAGAGGACAAAATCAGATTAATTTAATGTGATAGTATCACAAGGTTTTTTCTTTGTATTTTGTACACATTAGAAATGTTCTTCAGTTTTGTGAACCAACACATTTGGACAAGTTTGGGCAGTTTTGTGCATTCCAACTGCTGGGATGAACTGAAGTCCGAACAGGTGCAATTATTTGAAAGCTAGAGCTAGGCATTATCTTGATCTGCGGTAGCTCACTTGAAGGCAGTGGAATTGCACCCATTGGCACCTGTTCAGATTCTTAACTACCGAGTTTGTTCTGATATTGTATTTCAGGAAACTTTACTGCAGTTGAAACTTTGAATAAGGAAGGAGCATGTTCAATTCTTTAGGTAACAACTGAGAGCACGCAGTATTAAAACAATAGGTATTTAAAATGATGCATGTATATTTAGTGTGTCAAATGTTTTCTGATTTGAGGAAACTAGAGTAAAAATACTGGGTGTTTTTTTTTTTAGTGTAAAAAGAGCTCTGTGATTCATAAACTTATGCCATTTCAGTAGTCTTAATAATAGATCTGGACACCATTTCTAGGGAAGGAGAGGGGTTCAGCCTATATACTTTCGTGGTAGCTACCTCAAGTTTCAGTTGTTTTATGACGCTTTTGGCATCTTTGCTTACAGGTCTTTTTACTTTTTCGTCAAAAAAAACGTGGAAAGTTCTCTCCAGGCTAGAACACTGTGATTCTCATCCTTTAATTAGTTGTCAAAAGCCAAATTATTCAGGATGATGGTAGTGATAAATACAGGTTACTAGATGTTCAGGATAAGTTCTCTGTGTGCTTTTTATGGTGTTAAGAGTAAGAGATAAGATCTAGGTACATGAAAGAACATTAAGAAACACATGGGGGAGAGGAGATGATTATTATAAACTCCTCTTAAGAAGTGAATGCTGCTTACTTGCTGCCCAGATGACTAAGGGTCTGGTCACCCGAAATTCTTAGTTCCTCACACAGGAATAAACACTCAACACAGTTCCATTTTAATATGATTTAAAAAAAAACAAACACACAAAACCAAACAAAAACAACAGTAGCACAGGCAGTTCCTTGGAACAAAGACTCGTAGGTTCAGTTGATAGCTAACGATCTTGTGCAAAAAAGCAGACAAGCTTCATGTAGGTAAGACTAAAAGTAATGTTCTGCCCATAACGTTGTTTAAGAATTAATTTGTAACAAAAATAGTCACCTGAGCCTATTCATATTTCTGTCTGAGGAGGTTAACTGCATTTTTAAGGTAGCTTGTTAATGGAAACTTTTGTTGTACTTACATTGGTGATGCAAAAAAGAGCAACTAGGAAGGTGCCAAAAGAAACACCAAAGGTGAAGAGTTTTCTGTGCTGCTTCAGAATTTGGAAATCATCTGCCAAGCCAGTGATGACAGCCTCCATTCCGCCCATCTGAAGAAGGGAAGGCAAGAGCTCTGGTTAAATGCTACTGACTGTTGTAAATACAGATCAAAGAATGTAAAGCAGTTTGTATAATTAATTCCCAACCACTGTATGACTTCTGACATTTCAGCTGTAAATCACTGGTGTTCTGAGGTATAATTTATTTTCTGGTGGTAGAGAACTGCGTCAGGGAACTGGACATCAAGTGCCATGGTTGTTAGCTTGATAGCCATATCCTCTGCAGACCCTTTGCTGACTCATGAGGATGGTATGTAGACAGTACTTCAGGAAAAATAATACACGTTTTAATATATTTTGGAAAAAAACCTGGTAGCATAAGTAACCAAACTCCTGAAGATATTTCTAATATTGAGATAGACAAATCAAGCACCTAGGGGACATGCACTGAACAAAGGCTCAGTTTAGCTGTTGATTAACCAAATCCGGTTTGACAAAAGTCTTTACATACCTGGAAGAATCACTACATAGGAAGCTTGACGTAAATTTTTTGTTGACAGCATAAAAGAATTTTACTTTGTTTTCTAGAACTTAATGCTGAACATTAGCCATTGTTGTACAATATAGGAAAGGTATTTTCCAAGTTTTCATTGAAATTGCTGGGTTATGTAGGTGGTTATGAATTTTAATTTCTTTCCACCAATGAAGCGTTCTGTCCCTTCTCCACCAAGAAGTTGTGAAAATGAATTCATGTCTTCTGTCATAATAAATAAATTTATTTAATATTTTAGGGAGGCTGGATTTAATGCTTTTTCTGATGCTGAAAGATCGTGGCAAGACCTGGAGTGTTTGGTGCAATACAGTAGTTGGTTAGCAGGTGCTGACATAGCCTGTCCCTTTCCTATAAGTATTTGGTGAAACTAACATCTCCGGTTGAAATCAGTAGCAGAGAACTATCTAGAATGTGAATGATTCCTGTCTAGAGCCAAATTGCTGGGGGCAGTGGACCTATTTTTTTTTTTTTAAAGTTAATGAATGCTTATAAGTAAAATGTCCCAAAACCTAGTGTAGGCCTGGATTTACTAATGTCTAGGGGGGCATCAGTGAGTGCCCTGCAGTTAAGATGGGTTAATACTTGATGTTGTCAGAAGTTGTTACCATGTTGGCACTTCAATGGTCTTGGAGAAGTTGAAAATGGGAAGAGATAGCTTGGATTATTTTGGCGAAGGACCACTTCTTAATATATTCTTAATGATTTATTCCCCTTGTTATTTCCCTGTGCCAAGATAGATACCTAGTCCAAAAAATATTTGCAAACCTTTGTTCCATTTTCTGTCCTTTTCATTGTTGCTTGCTTAAACTTGCATGATCAGATTTCTCTTTGCTTAAACATTTGGACAGTTCATTTTTGTAGAGATGTCTCTATTTCTGTGCCAGTGCAGGGTTATATGCATGAGTAAAAGTATTAATATATAATTATTCCTCTTTAGCTCTGGGATTTTTTTATTTTTAGCTTAAAAAATTTTAATTTTCCCTTTGAGGACTTGGTGAGCCAAATGTGTGGGGAGAGTTGAGGAGACTACCATAAAAAAATTACTGCATGACCAGAGGGGTTTTTAGGTAAATGTAAATATAGCATGATGTCTTGATGCCTCCTTGGCAAGAACAAAGCAGTACAAATCTTGTTAGGGGACTTGGGATATTTTATGGTCTGAAGTTTCTGTGATCCTGAATATTATGGTACAGTAAATGTCATGACATAATGGAAAGAGCAAATACACTCGTCATACTAGATATTTTAAAGTAAGATGGTAAAAAGAAACTGCTATGGAAATATTCTGGTGTCACTGTTAAATTGTAACTAAATTTACAGGAAATTCGGTATCATTGCTTGTAGAATAACATCAGACTACCTTCAGACACGGTCTGTCTTGAGCAGATTAATGAATTTCAGCACATGTAAAAGTCTCTTCTAGAAACCACTCTATTCAATGTCTTACTGTGGCTTGTGTTTTGCAAGTAGGGTTCCAAAACCTTTTTGCAGGTTTGTAGTGGTAATAGTTCATAGCAGTGATGTTGGGTCATACCTTTAAATAGTAGTAATAGTTGATGAACAGCCCCTCTGTACGATCGTAAAAAATCAGCGGTAAGTAATTATTTGCTGGCTTGTAAAAGCTTTGATCTGTTCCTAAACCTCTTAAATTTTGTGAGTCTCTAAATAAACTGCAAGATGTAATACTATTGGTATGTTAGCTGTGACTGTGAAAACAGATTCAGGGAATGTACAGAATGTTTATCTGAAATGTAGTAAAGCCCCTATTTAAGGTTGATACATCTCCAGTTACAGAATATAACAGTAAAGTAAAAGTATCATGGCTACAAGGAAAAATACTCACCGAACTGTCGATGCCAAGAGTAAGGAGCATGATGAAGAATACTACAGCCCAAAATGTAGATCCTGAAAGAGTTGAAATTGCCTCTGGATACAGGATGAAAACTAAACCGGCTCCTGAAATAGAAAAGAAAAAAAACCACAAGCCAAATATTACTAAATGAGGTTTTATTAGCTTCACAAAAGTGTTCATTTTAATAAGATAAATTATGACTAAGTTGGCTTTTTACATTGGTCCACATCACACTCTGAGTAGCTGTTAAAACTAAATTTCCATTATACCAAAAATAAATTCAAAACACTTTAATAATGTACTCATGACAGTTTTGTATTAAAAAAAATCTATCCCATTCTTTTCCACTTATGATAATCTTTTATGGACTTCACAACCTTACTAGCCATTTTTCAACTATGTAGTAGAGAAGGAACCCTGTGGATGTGGACTCCACTCTTTGGCAGGTGGACTCCACTCTTTGGCAGGAGAACTCTGGGATGCGATAAGAGATCCAGGAACTGAAATCACAGGTGACCTGTTATCAGTGAAAGGACTCTACAGCTAAGCTTATCAGAACCATCCAAACCAGTAACCTATGGCACTGAACAGCAATACTTTCTGAAGATACTGTGCAGTGGTAAATGCCTATTTGTTGCACAGGCTGAACTTCTAATGAGCAGGATGTTGGGGAACCACAATTCAGTAGAGGGTGAGATGAATCGATACCATTTAGAGCTCACATTTCAGCGAGGTGTTTACACATACAGTGTTAGTTTTACTAATATAACTCGGGTCACTTCTGTGAGATTTTCACATACTTGTTTGAAACAAATATAAACACTGTTACAAAGAAATGGTGGACAAAAAGGTATAAAACTAGTATAAAATTCACTTCATACCTTCAGTGGCTACATCCTCAATTTTAACTTTGTGCTCATGAGCCATGTAGCCCAATATGGAGAAAATTGCAAATCCTGAGATGAAGCTTGTGACACAATTAATGGTACTCGTCAGCAAAGCATCCCTAATGATGGAGAGAACAACAGCCCAGTGAAAAAAAACCACTTTAAGAACTAGGTGGGCATTGTCTTACAGCAATAGGAAGATTCTTGTGAAAATGCTAATTGTGCAATTATCCTGATGATCAAAAGCTCATATCAGCATACTATGCTAGAAAATGACATATTTCTGTTTACTGTTTTGATTTAAAACTGAGTTCTGTTAAAAAAAAAATCAACAAAGCTGTATTAAATATTAAGATATTAAAGAGTAAGTCATCATCCTAGCTGGTGAAACAGCCTTACTAGTCATCAATTCACATAAGCAGTTATTCAGGAGTATTTTCAGACAACTCCAGTAGTGTATTTTTAGCAAACTGCTGCCATGCAGATGGCAGTGGATAACCATCCTTAATCTGTAATGAGGTCCCTTCATCTATGAAGTTGGCTAGGCTTTTCTGAAAAAAATACCACTCTTGTTTATCAGATCGTTACAACAGGGAATTTGGTTTAAAGGTTAAATATTACGTGATGTGCATCATATAGTAATCATTGTACAAAGTTGTTTGAATCAATCTGCCATGGTATTATGATAGGTATTTGAGTTTTCCTGAGTATTAATAACCCCTATTTCCAAACCTGGCTTGAAAATAGGTAGACCATACGTCTTTAGATGCTTTCTTAATTTGTACAGTGTCTGGTATGTAGTCTTCTGCTGCATATGACCTTTAGAACAGAGCACATGGCTCTGTGAACATCAGTGATGTTTAGTACGCAGGAAGCAAATATGATTTCCTATCATCAGTTACACTACCTAAAAACACAGGTGCCATATGCCAAACTTCATCCTCTTACTTATATTACTGAATTTTGATAACACTGAAGAATTTATATCCTGCAATTCTTAAAGTGTTTTCCTGGGGGACGGCTGCAGGATTGAGGGATACCGGATTGGACCCATAAACTCCAATTATTTTCAGTTATTAAAGAAGAAAATTTCTAGGTATTTGTCACTTATAAGATGGCAACAGTATTTCTTGTTTCCCAAAATTAAAAAATATTCTTATGCAAGTGAATAATGCTTCTTTCCACTTAAGCATCACTTATTCCAGTTATTGACTATCTCCTTAAAAACTGAGCTGAGGTAGCTCTCAGTATTTTGCATGTAAAACTAGATTATAAATTAAGTACAGTTTCTCATATTTTCTAGCCCTGATTTTCAGTATTGTTACCCTAACTTACATTGACACTATTCCTCTCAAGGAAAGCGTGTTGAAGCATAGATGGGACGCCATAGTGCCGAGTCATGGCCTTCATTTGGAAACAGTACTAGTTTCACCTTATTCTGTTTCAAGAAAGCCTTTTGAAAAAAATATGTCAGCACGCTATGGAGTTATTTGACGAGAAGACAGATATTTGTGTTGTAAGTGCTACTGAACTGAAGCTTCCATTTATGGTTAGAACTAAAACACAGTATTTAATGATACTATGGATTACTCTTACAGGAAGGGCAAGGCTTACGAAGCAACACTTAACAAATATAGTAAGCTAAGAATAAAATAATATGATTTCACATATAGTCTGTAGTGTTTTCTTAGTTTCAAGTGGATTTTTTCCATTTCAGAGCAAAATTAGAATACAGAAGAAAAACAATTGTATAGGGAGCTGCTATGAGATTAATACAAAATTATTTGCAGATGATGATAAATGTTATTTTGGAAGATATGGCTGGCCAGTTATGGCTGGCCTTCTAACTGAAGGGTTCTCAATCCTGGTACTATTACCTACTGCAAATAATCAGCTGGCAACCTGAAGTTGCTCTGGGTTAAGTTCAAAGCATTCTGAAGTTAGTGGAAGTATTCCACGATTTTGCCTTTCAAGCTGTGTGAGGCAGTTCAAGTCTATATATTTTCTTGTACCTTTTCAGTTTAACGTTTTTTTGCCATCCTTCAGTTCACAATGTATTTATAATACATGTACTTCCTGAATTTACATTTAATGGGAAATTTTGAAGTGATGCTTGTTTTCATTCCAAAATGGAATGTTAACAAAATTTCTAAATGTTGGAAGTTCTGAGAAGGTGCAGAGCAGTTCTGGTTGAATTTCCATGGTGGTAGTTCAGCAAAACACTTACAAACTGACTTGATTTAAGGTGCATTCCTAAATTGGAGCTCCACATAAAATATCAGAAATATACTCCCAAAGCACAGAAACACTTCTGGATTCCTTCTGCTTTTAGTTCCTGGACCAAAAAGATTTCATCCTGTGTTCCCTGTTGCTCTTAATGGTACTTTTGAAAGGCAAACACAAGCACAGTTTACACAGCTGTCTATAAAGTCCAAACCTAATCCCATTCTGTTTTGCTGTACAGCAGATATCTTGGCAGGTTCCATTTCCTAAAATTTCAGTAAGGAAGACAGTGTTTTGAGATTTGGGTTGGTTGCTATGTCCACACAAGACTGACCATCATTAATAATGACTGCAGATAAAAAGAAAGCTTAGTACCTATTCCAGCTGCAGTTAGAGTAAAATAGTATCATTCTGAAGCAGTAATAAAAGAAGAGGCTGTCTTACCTGTAACAGTTGTTGTCAAATTTATTGTAACTGGCAAATGCAATTAAAACACCAAACCCGGCTCCTAAGGAGTAAAATATCTGAGTAGCTGCATCAATCCATACCTGCATAATGACACCAACATTGTCCGTGTCAGTTCAGTCCAAAAGATGCATCAGGGAAATGCAAGAGTATACAAGATAACTGGTTTCTGAAAACTGATCAGCGCTTGTGCTTATCGGAATGTAAGTGCTTCTCAGCCCCCATGAGATGTCACATGGAGCACAGTCATGGTCTGGAATGGCTTAACCTGAAATGGTAAGGGCTGAAGCAGTGGGCAGGTTTTCAGTGCATGCACACTGATACCACAGTGGGGTGTACCACTTGGATCGGTACTTCTGAGCTTTTACTGAGTACTGGAATGATTGCATGATTTTTCTCCTGGGTGACAGAAATACACTTCCAATAGTTCTTGTTCCAAGTTAGCTGGGAATGTACAACCAGAAAACTAAAAATAGCTAATGGGTCAAGAGTTGCAGGACACTTCCTTTCCCATAAGGGAGCTTTCTTCATTTGACTGTTAGTACACTTCATATTACGCTTTCTTGTTTCAGAAGCTGAACCATGACTGACATGCTGTGAACAGAACCATGCAGCCTATCTGTCACCTTTCCCACTTAGTTGGAGATGGAGTTATTCCTGTGAGAGTCATTAAATTTCAGTTAGATGCAGCTTGGTCATTTTAAGAATTGTCCACTAGGGGAACCGTGGTTTTAATGCTGTAACATTTTCTAAAGTGATCCTCCAGCCCAACATCCACTCAAGATGTACGGATAGCAGTCAGGAACAATGCCACAGTGCTGGTCTCCCGAGTCAAAAGCCTGAAAATAGTCTACCCTGGGTTTCACCTACTCAGTTGTTACATAGATATATTTAAACAAGCATCTTCAAGCAGGGTGATGAAATCACTGGAGTGAACAATACTCAATGTTTCTAAAAATGAGGTCGTCATTATTTGATTAAATCTGGTAAGTGCTCAAGACTATGAAAAGCACTGGATTTCATCTTCATCCACCTCTATGAAATCAGATCCAACATACCTGTTCAGCAGTGGCCTTCTAACAGATCTAAGCAGCTTATGAGCTCCATCTGTATTGGGATTTTAATGCGAAGCTTTCACATTTGGCCCAGTGGAGAGTGGCTTATTCCATCTTAATGCAGTATATAAAAGCACTTATGCTAGTGATCTATTTTTTTTCTCAACATAGATGACAGATGCTTTCAACTATTCTTCTGAAGACTGTAAACTATTTGTTGAACTCTAGATTTGTACAGGAACTTAATTTTATGAACTGTTGAGAGTTAATTACTTGAAAGATAATATGAAGAACAATCTGTGGTGTTTATTGCAGACTGGTGGGTATGATTTCTCTCAAATTGCAGTTTGTACAGGGCTTTTGGGTATCACAGATTTCTTTTACTAAATAGCAAAATAATCCTGTAAAATTAATTCCTGGCTTATTCCTTTTATATACCCAGTAACATCTTAATGTTCTATCTCCACACAAAGGTTGGGATCAAATAGGGCCATACTCTGGAGAGCGTTAATAGGGATAAGAGTGCAGAAGGAGGGATGCAAAGGCTCCTTTAATTTTTCTTGTTTTTTAAAACTTCCTACAACTTGTGTTGTTCGGGAAGTGCCTGAAATTTTTTAAAATGAATTTTGCTTAAACTGTAACTAGATTTGCATGTTGCCATCATAAGACACTTATTTTTAGTGATTATCTAGCTCTTTTATGGCTTGCCAGTGGAGTTGTATTCATTATACTTCCCCTTTCTTACTATTCAAGCACCATTAAGCATTTGCTTAAGTCCTGTTGATTCAAATGAGGTTAGCACCTGCTGCCTACCAAAGGAGTTACGCTTATGCTTAAGTATCTGTTGAGTAAGAGTCTTGGCTCATAGTAGCTGATTAGGAAACAAATTGAGCAGATCAGGGTGAAGGGGGGGAAAAAAGAGCAGAAACCAGAAATTCCTTTAGAACTAAGATTAAATGATAAACATTCCCTTTGTTATAACGAAGGGGGACGTGAAACAGACAGTGAGGCGAGTTCTTCTGCAGTTTACGCTCATGTTTTCTGTTCACTTCAGCTGAATTGGCTTCTGATTGATGCATAGTCTAACATCTTTTACAGCAGGATATTGGTTTTATAAGCAGTAAAAATTAAAAAATAGCAACATTTTACAGGAGGCAGTCATTGATCTTTCCAGCTTTGTTCATGGTTTTTTATGCTGTTACAACTTTTGTGCATATTCTTCCTTGTGTGTGCGTTTAAAGAATTACTGTGCTGTGTGGAGAGGAAACATTGTGTGCACCCCCAGATGTTATACAATCTTCAGGAAACTTGTTAAGGTGTATGAAAGAGCGAGTGTGTTCTCATGACTGATTTACCTCTGTGTTTAACGCCAATTCCTTTAGCAGAACAGAAGTGTATCTGCTGTTTTACACAGAAGTTTAATGTATCCGTTTGTGCAGGGGAGATGAGTATTATGGCTTTGTAGCTTCTGGACTTTCAGCAAGGAATATAGCTAGGTATTGGTCTAGTTAAGAGGTTCTCAGGTGAATATCTTTTGCTCCTTTTTATAGAGACACCCTTTGTGGATTCAATAGCCCTGAAAATTGAGGTGTCTCTGCTTGCTCAGTGCTGCGCAGTGTGCGGCCTTGACACGGATCAGGATGCTCTAAGGTCTTTTAGAAGAGCTTTGGCAGAGCCCTCTGTAGGTCACTACTGTTTCTGAGTTATGATGTTTCTTTGTTAGATTCTTCATTTGGGAGGAAGAAAAATCATAAATCAGAAAGATTTGGAGGCATGTTGACATAGAACTGAAGCAGGAGTCTATTCTTCAGAGCCTGAGGACAAAGATTAAATATGCAAGCCTACTGCAGCAGCTGGCATCCCAGTTCCTGAGCAGGAGAAAGGCTGATGTGACAAAGCAGTTCGTGAAACTTCCCTTATAAATGATCTTTAGCCTTGTGTTATTCTAGAGCAACTTTTCATTGTTGTTATCTGAAAAATTTAGTCTTCGAAACAAATAACTTCAGCGTCATCCAGACAGCAGCTGCAGAAATATTAAGCCAAGAAAGACCAGTGCGCAGAATATCCTTCCAAAAGCACAAGACAGCTATGATTATGGAGGCCTAGATTCTGAACTGATGAAAGCTGGCACAGCTCCATAGACATCTAGTTCAACTTGTGACGTTTTTTTCCAAATAGCACTTAAAATATATAAGAAAAATTTAAGCACTTCCTTCGTTCATCCTTGCATCTTTGTATTTATGTGTATGCATAAACATGAACTACTGAGGTGGCTGCTGCCTTGGTGACAAAGGTGGATGAAAGTCCTGTATCTGAAGTTCGGTTTGACAATTCCAAAATGGAGTAAGTTGAGGTCTGGGTTCCAGTGATAACTCTGCTATTGAAGAAGTGCTGGTTTCCAAAATTCAGTATTACAAATTTCCAAATTCACTATTACAAAACCAAGGAAGGATTGTTTTGCTAAGAGTATATAAAATAGATGTGTGTTCTAACACTCAAGGTCTTTGTCTGCCTTTTGATTATTCAGGAAAAATCAAGATAGGATGTATAGGAAATGTACAGTGCAACTATGTACAGACTACAGGCATCTCTGAAAGCTGCAGATTTTTGAGACAGTTCATTTCCTGCTAGCAGAACTATGTCCTTGCCTTTCAGTTTTGTAACCATCTGAATGGCCTCATGACCTATCCACAAAGACACCGCTGTCTTATAAATGTTTTATGATATTTTTAGAATAGCACAGTGGTAAGATCTGTCTGCAGTCACCAGATCATTGTTTTTTGTAGGTCTGAAATGCTGCTGATTTCATGAGTTAGTGACTATATTTGTAGGTCTTGCTTTACAATGGATGAAATAATTCAATTCCAAGGTACTCCACAAATTGAATTGGTTTGGATATATTTAATGAGAATGTATTGTAATGTTAAATGATACAGGGAAATGTACATTACTTCCAATAGTAAGATAAGAACATCTTACAAATGAAAATCTCATTTGTATGCAGAACGATGATTAGGTGAGTTAGACCTGACTTAGTACTTTCAGCAAGGTTTTCATAGGCCGGGATTTTTGTTTACCAGGTTAATGTTTAACCTAGTGATTCACAAAGCAAAATTTTCTTCTTGAGGGAATTCTTCTCCTTTTGAGAACTAAATTTTTCACATGACTCAATTTTCATGTGTAAAGGATACCACAGTTTACAGGATGCACAGTCAAAGCATGGACTTTAAGGGACTGCCACACCTGAAGCTGCCCTCATACAGCATTTTTTTGTGATCAGAACAGTTTGGGTTCAGGCTGAGATAGTCCTGTTCTGGAGAGTGTTGGAAAGTTAGACTATCAGGGACAGTGGACTAGTGCTTATGGTCCAAAGGAGGGCTACAAAAATGATCCGAGGGCTGGAGCACCTCTCCTATGAGGACAGGCTGAGAGAGTTGGGCTTGTTCAGCCTGGAGAAGAGAAGGCTTTGGGGAGACCTGATTGCAGCCTTTCAGTACTTAAAGGGAGCCTATAGGAAAGATGGGGACAATCTTTTTAGTAGAGACAGCAGTGACAGGACAAGGGGTAATGGTTTTAAACTAAAACAGGGTAGGTTTAGGCTAGATATAAGGAAGAAATTCTTTACAATGAGGGTTGTGAAACACTGGAACGGGTTGCCCAGAGAGGTAGTGGAGGCCCCATCCCTGGAAACGTTCAAGACCAGGTTGGACAGGGCTCTGAGCAACCTGATCTAGTTGGCGGTGTCCCTGCTCGCTGCAGGGGGGTTGGACTAGATGACCTCTAGGGGTCCCTTCCGACCCAAAACTTTCTATGATTCTATGATTGTTTCGGAAATTAGCTCTAATATTTCCAGTTTTAATAATAGGGGCAACAGGTTTAATAATAACAAGGGAATGAGAGCAGAAGAATACACTTACCGTGGCTTCTTTTAATCTTCTGAAATCTATGTGCAGGTATGCATTTATTCCATTGTATGCACCAGGCAGGGTTATTCCATGTATTAACAAGACAAATAATACAACATAAGGCAAAGTGGCCGTTATCCAAACAACCTGCAGACAACAGAGATCCCAAAGGTTAATCAGCTGTTACAGAAGACTGAAGAATGTGTGAAAAATACAGCTGGCATTTCTTGGTTTTGTCCATTCAGTTTGATGGAGAAGCTCTTTATAGGATATCTTGGGGGAAAATGCTGTTATGTGTCATGAATCTTTACATATGTATGTTTACAGATACCAGCAGGAGACAGTTTTGACAAACAGAAGACTTGGAGTGCTTGTACATTACCAGTGTGTGTTAGACTGCTGATTAGGTGTTCAGCTGCATATTCATTTAGTGAACAAGTACAGTCATTGCCTGATGTTAGGCGATACTTTCATGAAAATGGACAAAAAACTCTCAGATGTCTCCAACCCTAGAATTTCTGTCGAGGTGTTTTCTGAGGGATGTCAAAGAGTAATTTCAAATTACTTTCATCAGGTATTTCTCTCATCATGATATTTTATATAATAAAACCAAAGCATCTTAAACCATCAAACGTTAGTACATTTGGCTAAGACTGGGAGGCATATTTAAGACAATTTAAAGTCTTTAAAAATATTTTCTGGGTGAGACTACTAATGCTGAATTGAAAATAATATGCTAATAAAATTTCCAGTTGGAACATCACTCAAGCAAAGCTTGTAAATAAAATAAAGGCTGAATCTGGATTGTGTATTTCCACTGTACACAGGCCTCTCACATGATTTGGTTCTCAAGGATCCCTCAGAAGCAGTGATTTAGTCTCTTGCTTTCTAAAATTAGGGGACTTCTTAAGGGAGACAAATAATGTAGTTGAGATGGAAGGACAATATTAGCTCTACCTTTCCTGAAGTCTTCACGCCTTTCCACAGACTAAAGAATAGAATGATTACCACCACCAAGAGGCAGAGGGAAAGTTGCCAGCGAGGCAAACCAAGGTCATGGATTCCACGGCTTTCATGCAGGTGCAGAAGTCCTCGCCTACATACCAGATACACAGAAACAAAGTGAAGTCACTGGGTGAAAAGGTTTTTACATATCTCATCCTGCAGGCAGCAGAAATGGATGCTGCACTACAGCAGTAGCTGCCCTACTGACATGGCTAGCAGTTAGTGAAATCTGTTTTGTGAAGCCATGTATTGTACTTCTTCCCACAATGCCTTTTGCTCTCACTGGCCCATCCGTATCTAGCACCACAGTGCCGTAATGGTAGCACTCTTCTCTCCTTCACTGGAAGTGTTTTGGGGATTTGGAAGTGTCATTCATTGATTCTTGCTTGAATACTGAACAGAAGCCAGAGAATGTCCATCCTTGGAGATTTTAAAACTTGGCCAGTAAAGACCTTGAGCAGACTGATTTACTTTTGAAGTTAGTCTTGCTTTGGGTAAGGAGTTGTGTTAGATGACATAAAGAGATGTCTTTCAACCTAAATTATTTTGTGATTCTAGATAAGCAAACAGCTGTCTTCCTGCAACTTGGGCAGTTCCAAAGTTACTTTCCATTTCTTTTTGAATAAACTATTGTGAGGCTGCAAAAAAGTGGTTGGATAGTAAAAGCAACGGTTGGTAAATTTAAATTGGATGTAGTGCTCTTGTGTTGTTTACTGAGATAGCGGAGTGAGAGCAGAGGAAATTCTGTTGCTTACCAGGGCAGACTAATTCTTTTGAGATCTACACAATTAAATGGATTAAAGCATAGAAAAAAGTGTTTGTCGCCATGACTGGTGATATCTACATTTAGAGCTGTTAAAACACATTGTGTGCAACAGGCACAGGGATATGGGAGAGCTGTTATAGGGGATCTCCTTTCCTTTAACTCAGTTCTATGCTATTCAAGTGTCTCCTGCTGCTTTTTCAAATTTAAAAAATACAGAAATATTTTGCTTTACTGAAAGCTGTATTTGTGAAGAGGAGTGACATTGCAGCTAGGGCGGTGCACTAGAGGAGGACTGCAGAGCTAACTCCTGGTTCTGATACAGATCTACAGGATGCTGGCTCAGGCATTCAATTTCTTAGTGTTTCAGTGCCCATCCAGATACGATGGCCATGACCTTCCTTGTCTCCTCCCCCTTCTCTGTCACCTGTTGTTTGCTATGCACTTTTTGGATGAAATAGAAAATTGAACTCTGTTGGCTATTCTTAGCACCATGATAGTACAAACAAGCCAAGTCAAAGAAGCCCTTTTCACTGGGGGACCTTGACGTGTTTGACGAAGATAACTACATTTTAGAGAAGTTTAGTGATTTGCCCTGCACAACTGCAGACATGTAGAGACTACATCCCAAGGAGTGTAATTCCAGCCTTATTGGCTGTCTGTGTACAGTCTCTTACTAGATATATGGTGCTTCAGAATGGACTTAAGCACGTGTCTTATCAAGTCAGAGATGAGTGAGATAGTTGAGTAAGTTCCAAGATAGGGCAAACCTGTGTCAACTTCAATGGGGAAAACTGAAAAATGTCTCTGTACTACTTAAACTGTAGAAACATGCTGGGAAAATTAAGGCCTGTTAAAATGATGCATCTACTAATATGAGTTGCATACAATTCCCTTTTGATTCCTAAAGCATCAAGATATGATCAACTAATAATTGTGATGGTTCTGCTTCTGTAGTTTCTCATGTTTAATAAGAAATACTGTGTTTTTGGACTGTTTCTATGATTTATCCCAGATTGGATAAAAGATGCTCATAGAAAGCATCCTCCTGAACTAAGCAGCTGATCTGTTTCTGTTGCATTATAAGGCTAATAACAAGTGAGGTATTAAAAGGATTGCGACCATGTGTTTGTGGCATATATTGGAGAATGTTCTGATTTAGGAAGTCTGAGGTGAGTTTACCTCTTATCATACAATAATATAGTTATATAACAATATAGCCATTACTGTGGAAACAGTAACACAGAGGCGGACTTCTTGATATTGCATCTAAAAACCTATTCTTTTTAATGAAGTGTAAATAAATAGGTAGTTCTCATTCAACTTTTGCTTAGTGTGTGAATGAAAGCGACTTGTATTTCTGCTAATTAAGTATAATTTGCCAGAGGATCCCCAGCTGTAAATTAATCCTGGGCAGGGATGCCTGATTCCATTCTAAACTTACCAGCTTGGGCAGTGATAAGTGCAGCTGGGAAAAGCTTCGCAGGCTTCTGATCAGAACGTTTGTCTAGGATCTTGGGAGGGTTTTGGCAATCTGTGCTATCACAGTTACACTGCTGTTGCTGTCAGAGATGGATGTTGTAAAGAAAGGTTGGATTATGATGCGTAGATGTCTACTCAGAAAACTGAATCTGAACTTGCATTCTTTGTACTATTTAACTTTTTATTCGTCTTGCCCAAGTATTTTTCTGGATGTGTAAAGCAGCCTGCTTCCTTGTGTGTTTGCTTTCCAAGAAGCAGCTAGCAATGTGTCTTACTGTTTGGAACACTTGCCAGAACTGCCATTTAAAGTGTGGGATTCCCAGGATTTTCAGGAGAATCTCTATTCCCAGAGTTCTGCTCCCTTGATCAGACTAAGAGATCATAAAATAGGAAGAGAAAAATACTTTCATAACCAGTCAAAACAGCTGTGTAACTGGGCAGCTGAGCAAGGAAATCTTCATAGACAGTTGCTGTTTCCGAGCTGTAATTCTGGCGGGTTTTGCTTCCTCTTCCTTTTTTCTTTTTTATTTTTCTTTGTGACTTCTGAAGATAAGTTATAGAAGCTTTCCGCAAGATGCCTTTTTTGAGGGTTCCTGGGAAGTAGTTCATGCATGTTTACCTATTAGAAGCTACATTTCTGTTCCAGCAGCACCATAAAGTATAAAAGATCTAGTGCTAGACTGTGATTTAGGTTAAGATGTGCTGACATCTAAGAGATGGAGGACAGAAGCAGCAGCCAAAGTATTAGATAGACTAAGCCATCTTGGCTTGAAGGATATAACTCTGTAATGTTCTTTGAAAAACAGTCATTTTTTTGGAGAAGGGCAAATTTGAAAAAAATTTGCATTCATCATGTTCATCCAAGTTGGAATACATTGGTGATGCTATAGAAAATCCAGTTACCTCAGTTATGCCACAATTACTCTTATTTCATATCAAGGAGTACTGATTTCAGGAGCAGCTGAGGCTGTTTTTAGCCTGTCTCTGTTAAGGCAGGTTGAGTGATAAATCCCTCACTGGTTCCGTTAGATTATACTCAGTCACTTCCCTTATACTGGCCACAAAGAGGGAAATATGAAGTAAGAGATACTATTCAGGAAGGTCTGAGGTCAAAATACCTGAATTTTCAGCCTTTTCATATTACAGCACAATAAAGCAATGTGGCCAACATGTGGCCTGAACTGAGGTTGCCTTCACTAGCTGTAGGATTGTCCCGTTGCTATAGACATGTATGAGTCACAGACAAAATGGCATAAACTGATCTCTCTTAAATCCCTAAACCAGGGAACCAGAGGAGATGCAGAACCAACTAGTATTGGCCTCTGTTGTCTGTCAACTTCTTTAAATTATGTCCAAAGCTACTGGTAATGTCTTCAGTAAAAGCTTCTGAAAGTGATTCTTGTTTCATAAGTGTAGAGGTATTTGTCCAGTTATGCTAACAAAAACTCTCACAACTCTGAGTCGAAAAGAAAGGAAAAATCAGAGGCAGTCAGACAACTAGAATTAATATTTTGTCTGTAGATTACTGTTGTTGAGAAAAGAATGAAAGTAGATGAGAAATGTGTGCCAAAAGGAGAAGAAAATGTTATGGGGGAAAGATTGAGAATAAACTTTAACAGATGGAGCTGACAAAGTAGAACAGGGACCTATTATATTTTGCTGAGCAAAATACAAGAGGAGCTAATAAATTGTTTAAGCTTTCTGATATTCTAGTTAAAGCTTTAGCAATATTTAGTTAGTATAGCAGGAAGAATCGAAGAGCATGCAATAGAGATAAGAAATTAACTTTTTTTTATCAGGGGTTTGTGCAAAGGAGCCTGATTTATGCTAAGACTGCTTTCCATGTAAGGGAGTGTAAATTACATTTGCAATGACTTTGAGACTATACATCACTGTAAATATGGTTCCCAAGAGTCTTTCTGCCTATCTGCAAGAGGAACAGAAATGTGAAGGGTTTTCAGATTGAAGCTGCGTTCAGAGATTCTGGTTTCTCTCTTTGGGATGTTTCTTCTGGTCCTGTCCTGCCCTGTACTCTCTGCTGGGAAGATTCCACTAGTCACCCAGCAACTCTGGCACCAGTTCTTGCCTTACTTCCACACTGCATTCAGCTAAAGGGAAATAGTACACCTCTGTTGAAATCAGCAAACAGCAACTCATTTGCTGATACCACTGTCCTCTGTTTTGTCTTTGTGCAGCACTTGGGTCCTCTTTAATTTGGTGTCAGATCGCACAGAGCCAACAGGAAACTCAGCTGTTTGGTACTCGCATGTAAACCTTACTGAAGACAAAATATTGAGATGGCAGGGGGCCAGCTGCTCAGTGGGACTCAGTAAATGAAGGATCCAATCATAGTTCTAATAATAGGTAATGTTGGAACCAATGCATTCTTCTCTGTGTCTTAGTGTTCCCCTCTATAAAATAAGGGTCATTATAAACCTTTGCTTTGTCCCCGCTCTGAGCAATTCAGAACATACTCTTTATGGAAGTGGTATTTGAGCATAAGCAGGCAACCAAACCAAAGGAAAGAGAAATGCCAAGGGCCGTGATCTGAAAATTACTCTGTATCCTGTTCCCGCCAAAACGTTTAATCCATAGCCAGAAAACAGGCAGTGAGAGTTTAGGTGTAGATATCTCCTGGACTTTTTTGTCAGACTAGTAATTTCTAAGGCGCCTGTTGTATTATTCATCCCTAGGCAGGTTTACATGATTGTATTATGGAATTTTAGAAGGTTTTGTACAAACAGATGAAGTTAAAGGTCTTGGAGTAAGCCTCATTTTTCCAGTCCCAAATTATAATTTTAGGTTTCAATCCAAATATGATTACACAGCTCTCTAGGCTCATTCCT